CTCTCTCTCTCTCTCTCTCTCTCTCTCTCTCTCTCTCTCTCTCTCTCCCTCTATCTCTCCCTCTGTGTGTGTGTGTGTGTGTGCGAGAGTATGAGTTGTTACAGAACGTTAACAAGACACGTCCACATAAAATATACACAACCGACTACACACACCATAATAATATAATGCAAACAATCACACGATGAATTTGATTCGGGAAACGAAAATGATTTAGGCGGTCGGTAGTGTCGTTATAAAAACATTAAATTGGAATTGAGATAAAGAGAGGAACGGGTAAGTGTTCAATGTTTATGTTACTACATATTTTGTTTGTTATTCTTCAACCCCTGATCCATTTATGGCGTTCTACACCAAATTCGCCCATTCGATTGAAATGGGTCTTCTCTCTTCTTTTTTTTTAATATTTCCATATTTTTTCGTCGCATGAATCGTCTTTTCCGACAAAGCAGAAAAAACAACAACAACAACAATGACGAAAAAGCGCAACCATCTTCGCTGCAGACATACATTGAAACATTTTAAATCTCATACCGGTTTTTCGCTTTTCATTAATTCATGCACATTGAATTAGTCTTCATTTAATTATAGAACATCTGGCTCAAGAATGTGCCGTAATTGATATTCCTCTAAGCGCTTGTTGTAACACAAACAAACTTTCGATTTTTTTTTTAATTCTTTGGAATCGAAAGGAAACGCGCGCGTACACACACATACAGATTGCCGTGAGTTGAATTTATTTGAATGAGCAATTTAGTAAGCAGAGAATAAAATGATTGTAAATCATTATTTGTCACATTTTGCTCGGTTCGTCACTTATTATCAATGTTTGATATGTAGACCCCTTTAAATGATAACACCAAATCATTTGTTCTTCTTTTCTTTTCAACTACGAGTGAGGAACCTTTATCAAGCTAACTTTATCAATGTTCTATGCATACGCATCAAAAAAAAAAATGTCTTCGAGTAAAATTCTTAGTAGCAATGATTCATATTTACTCATTTGCCTTTCAAACAATTGCCTATCATTTTCGGTTGTGCTTTTTTCGCGATGAATCAGAAAAATTATTGTAATGCAATATCTAACTCTCTCTTTGTGTCAACATACCTGTGTTTCAGACAAATTCAGTTGTTGAGCCAATGCTTTTCGTTCAGCGCCAACTACATATTGATTGTTCTCGAATGCATGTTCCAGTTTCAATAATTGGCCAGGCGAAAAAGCGGTCCGCACGCGTTTCGGTTTTCGAAATGGATGCAGCAAGAAATCTACAGAGAACGAAACAAAGCAAAAGTGAAAAAAAGAAAAGAGAAGAAAAGACAAATCGAAATTTAATTATACATTGAATTAGTAATGGATTCAGTGTTTACACTATGATAAAACTATAAATTACACACTTTACCCATGCACACAGTCTGTAACCGAAATACCGCGAATCCTTTCATTCCTGTCCATCCGTACGGCATATTAGTGCATGTTTATTCGAAGTTTTTACATGTAGACCCATGAGTGAGTCTGCAACTCTTCGAAAATATGCCGCGGATCGAACAGGGAAAATGTAAAGCGAATAAGAGGGAAAAAAAAAACAAACACAATTGGGACGAAGGAGAAGATCGCGGCACAGCATCGTCATCAATAAATAAATCTATGAATAACCGCAACAATGCCATTTATATTCATCCATTTTTCTCATTTTTTCTCGTTTTTCTCTTGTTGTCCATTTCAGTGTGTTCATTCTTCATCGGTTCTCTGTGCATCGATAAAGAAGAAAAACGAACGAAGAGGGTCATGTGAAGCGCATTTTTGTTATGATCACCAAAAACGACGGACGACAAGAAAAACAAAGCAGAAAAAAAAAACTTCGGATCTGACTTTACTGCTCTTTATTCGATTGCATCAAGCAATTGTTGAAGAAAAACGGCAAGCCAACGTGGAGAAGAAGTAGCAGAAAGAAGCGACAGAAATGAATGTTACCAAAGAATAAAATGAGGCAGGTTAAAATGGTAGCCGCATCAAATTAGAATACAATACAAAAATAAAGTGTATTTATCTTATTACGTATTGTTTTCCGATGCTTCATGCTCAATAAAAAAGACACGCTAACAATGTCCATATGCATCGCACACAAACACACTGGGTGCCTATGTGCTGCGCATAATACAAACCGCAGCAAATTAGTTATTGAGAACAAAAGAATAAACCACACTCTCTTTGGTTCCGTAGAATGATGAGCGATCAGCCGAAATGTAAAAAAAAAAAGAAGAAACAAAAAACAACATAAAAAGCGATCGAGAGCCAACCAAAATACAAGAGAAATATGTACATAGGTATGGTATGCAAACCAATTCAATTCAATTTAATCCATACTATTAGTTTATGCTCGTCAATGCACGCATAAAAAACAAGAGTGAGATAGAGAGAGAGAGAGCACACACTCATATTCAATTTAACATATTAAAAGCGTGGCATCAGGCGCCTTGCTTGATTGTTTTCGACAAAAAGTGAAAACAAACAGGAAAAAAAGAGCAACAAGCACAACAACGACGATAACAAGGAATTTGTACGTTTGTTCAGAAGACGCGATTCGCTTTGACAAAGAAAAACTATCATGAAGCAATTTATGAGTGTAACCATTATCTGGAGTTTGGTATGTGGACAAAATAAGCGAAAATGTAGAACTCGAAGTTAAACTGAACTGCCACAAGTTCGCGAAACGGAACAAGGACAACGTACATCATACAACAGAGAGGAGCGAAATGCAAAAAAAAAAAAAACGTATGTATATATACAATATGTGCGACGAGCAGACGAATGCTCTCTACGCAACGATTGAACGGCGAAAATGTTTAATGGACACGCTTAGCCACATTGAAACTCAACACACAGACTAAATATATCCGATCGATTGACAAGAGTCAAGCGAAAGTTATTAGCGGTATTTATGTGTTTTCCGTAGACAATTACACGCTTGCATGTACTGAACGCTGACTGTTAATCAGATTACGCAGCTTTTCCTTGCCTTGTTTCTGTTTCTTCGCCTCTTTTTTTTCTGCTTTGTTTATTCTGCGCATCATTTTAAACATCAAATAAGTTGACAACAAATTGCATTCACACGCAAATGATAAAGACAAAATAAACAATTACAGAATGAGCAAAAAACGAAGCGAAAAATAAAACGACAAAACGGAAAATTGATTGTGCAAATTATTAGACAAGAAACAAGAAACTTTGCCCGCTGTGTGTGTGTGGACAATATGTATTGGTTAGTTCATAGTTCATATGAAAGATGAACGATGCAAAAGTTTCTGTGTTGTTTGTGTGTGATTCGTGCGCACGTTGCTCGGTGTTGCTCTATTGCGATTCGGTATCAGTAATGTGTGTATACATAAGATGACGGAGATAAATAGGTGGAGAGATGAAAAAAACAAGAAATACTAACTGCCCGGGAAGTGTGGAAATACTCGTCCATGCCGGCTAATCAGCCATGGATACAGAGGATAGCCTTGTGGTGGTGGTGGTGCATGCCGAAATGGAGCGGTTTGTGCGAATCCCTGTTCGGTCACATGTCGTTGTGCCATCGCTGCTGCGGCCATTTGAATTTGCAGTAGATGAGGTGCATGCGCTGCCGCTGCCGCACTTAATCCCAGATACGATGGTGGCAAATTCTTTTCCAAATTTGTCGGCGGAACTATTGGCATTGGTCTGATTGGTCCACTCGGATGCATACCGTTCTGTAATGTATCACCGTATCAATTAGACCGTTATTCACATTCTCGATATTCTCTTCTCACTATTTTCAACTGACAATTGCTGAACGCTGTTGCGAATTGTTTGACTTTATTTGATGTTTTTTTTCTTCTTTCCCAAACGAATTTCACTCGATTTTCCTACGATATTTCGAACTCAATTATCTAATCACTAACAATGTTATTTTAATTAGAAGAAACATAGCTTTCGCAGCAGCCATACAATTCCCACAACATGCATCCATCAATTGGACAGCGAGATAAGGTCGAGAGTGAGAGAATAAATATTTGGTGTGTGCACGCGTGTATGTATGTATGTGTTCGCAACACCGCGTCCAGACACTCACCGTAAATGTTAATGAAGGAACTACCGGCGGCTCATTATTATTTGAATTGCTACCACTAGTATGTAAATTGTTATTATTGTTGTTGTTATTGGTGTTGCTTGTGTTATTATTATTCGTTAAAGCACTAGCAGTTTGATTTGGCGACGGTGAACGCGATTTTCGCATTGGATTCTCTTCCGACGGCAATGCCGTTGTTTGTGTGGTTTGATACGGTGCTAATGGGCTCAACGATGATTCACGTTTCATTGAATAGCCAAATAGATTGCGGACATCTTTTGTGGTGCCATTTAATTCGGGTCGAAATTTCATGTGGCCATCAGCACCAAATGAATCAGATGATAAACGTAATGCTCGTGCTATTTCCGTTTGACAAACGTATTTATCATTCCGATCTCTTGTTGCTGTTGTCGTGGATTTTGACACTTCTTCGCCAACAATTGAATCAATGCTAAAACCAATTTTCGCTTTTGATCCCGGCATTGTGGTTAATGTCGTGGGTGTTGGTGGAATCATTTTCCCTCCGTTCAACGAAGTCAGATTGTATGATTTTTTTTTTTTGTACAACTCAACACTATTTCAAGCAATAAATTCCAATTTTTATTTTGGTATAATAGAAAAAATCTTTGGATTGGAACTTTCCAACGTTTTGTTGTACAGTCTATTTTCTTTTCGGTGTCGACGTAATAATCACACAATATCTAGTACATATTCTGGCTAATTTGAATCTATTAACGAATTCAAATTCATTGAAAATTTCGTCGTTCGATTTATATGCACATGTATGAACTGGATTGTTTGCACAACATTCACAATACGCTCATGAGATTTGTTGTATTTTTTTTTTTCTTCTCTCTTTTAATATGTCATCGCACAGCAAAATAAAAAAAAAATTAGCGAAACGAAACGAAACGAATCACCAAATAAAGTGTGTGTAGTGCATGAATATGTCACGTTAACTGCTACACAGATTACCGCGAACAACAGAAATTGTTTTAACAAACGTCTTGCGCGCAAAAACAAATATTAAGACGATAATTTTAATCGAGTCAAACTTGATAGCCCTCGCTCCGCAATGTCTATAAAGATAGGACCGTTTGTGTCGAAATCTCAACGAAAACTAAACCACACGATGAGTCTCGCTGTATATCGCCTGTGCACACTGTGATGTGTATTGTATTAGCGATTGTAGCGAAGAAGAGGGCATTCGTAACACACATAACACTTCTGTATGCTTCGCTTAAACTCGTACGTATACCAAACAGCTGCACAATGCACAAATGGGCTGGCTCCCGAAACACTTTCCGCTCATTCTTTCGCTTTTTACACAAATACACAAACACGCACTCACAAATACCGTGGCCGTTGTATATTTTTACATGTGTATGCGCCCAACATGGTACATTCAACAATCTAGTTATGCCTCGGTTATAGTTAAGCTAGTTAGTTAGTTAATAGCCGAAACAAACCGTGTTATGTTCTACATATACGTGTTTGCGCAGTGCGTAAAATACCAAATAACGACGACGATTCGTCATTTACTTCGGATCCAAAAACATAGACACACACACATACTATGTAGAAAGCGTCTATTACCTTAAACGAGGTGACATGTGAATAAAAAGTTTGCTCGTATTTGTACCGAGTCTCGATTTGATCGTCGGCATCGTCGTCGCTGTTGAATACAATTGTTGTACCAATGTTTGTCGTTCCACCCAAAGAAATATTTTATCCAGGGAGGCGGTAACCATTTTCAATGTGCGTTCATTGTCTGGTGTGTATCTGCTGCGTTGTTGTTGTTGCTTTTGCTGTTGATTCTTCTTCTTTTCACTTCTTATTGCCACTCACAGTTCGGTCTGTAGGTGTTTCTCTCTTTTCGTGAGCGCGCGCGCGATGAGTTTCTCTTTTACTTGTATTTGCATCATATTGGAACGATTTAGCATTTAATGTTTGTTTAAAGTGTAGAAATGAGTACAAAGTGTACAATATCGTGTGTAATTTAATGGTTAGATGTGAATATGTTGAATTTGTTGTTGTCGTCGTCGTTTTTTTTTTTCTTTGGTCGATTTGCTTTTTTTCGAACAATTTGCTCTCCTTCCCTATCGTCGTTAAACATGTAAAACGTAGACATGTATTTTATGTATGAAAATAGCTTCAATTTTATCAAAGGCATTGTAAATTCGTTTTTTGTAATAAAATTTGATAAAATCTAATTTTTCTCTTTTTTACGAAAATCATGCATTCATATAAAAATGGAATTTTTTGCACAAAATATTCGGTTACTCAAAAGTTGAAATGTACTAAAATAATTAAATGGCATCAAATGGCGAGATTCGATGAATACTGAGTTTCAATTGAATCCAGCAATCTTGTGAAAACGAGCAGGATTCAAAACGTATATTAAAATACCAATGCCACAGCTCATCATCAACTAATGCTCGTGTGTGTGTGTGTGTCAATTACACATACATTGTATTTGAGCATAGCGTGCTGTGTGCCTGTGCCTGTGCATACTGCTTATTATCTCTATCATAATGAATGTGTGTGTATGCGATTTTAGGGTTTTCTTTTTCAATTTCTTCAACAAAATCACCTCATCAATATCGCTGAAACGATGTGTATTTCGTTCAAAAACATATCCTAAAAAAAAATCGTGTATGCTGTGTGCGTTTTCCGCTTGAGCTCTCCGCTTTTGGTACATGACATGCTACCAAAATTCGACTCCGTTGCGCTCCGGAAAGTTATTGAATTAGGAAATATTTAAATTTGCTAAGAATGCCAAACCGAACGAGCACACACTGCACACAACTCACAAGATCGCAGATAAATTACATACTCAACATGCCTGATGATACCTCATGTATGACGATTTGTGCAACACGTATTTATTGGTCTATTCGTGGTCTTGAAAGCTATGCACTGTGTCCGCATGTATGCGTATAAAATTTAGCGCGATTCTACACGAAAATGGAAGAGAGAAAAAAAAGCAACACTAGCCCGGACTATAGATAGGCTTTTTTAGATATATATATATTCGCGCTCGCTCCAAAATAAGCAATAAAGAAAACTTAGCCAGATTATGATGGTGAATACGGAATGCAATCGCGCGCGCATTATGCGGCTCCTAGCTGAATATGGTAATGTGGTAAGTGAGAGAAATACAAAAAAAAAACAACAGCCACAGTCGCACCACCAGCAGCAGCAGCAGCAGCGAATAAGAAGGAGAAAAGATGGTAAAACAATGCAGAAAATTGGAAGAATTTTCTCCGAGTTGGTTTATGGTTTGCACTTATTTATTTTGTAGTTCTTTAAGAGTTTACTAAAGGTCAAATCACTGGAATACCTCATTATATTCATCGCGATTTGTGTTTTCTTTTTTGAGGGTGGCAGAGATAGAGCTTTAGTGTAAACAACAATAGCAATTTTTTCTCTGCCCGTAACATGCGCGCCACCGCGATAGTCTCGATCATTAAACGTCAAACCAACAACGCCATACATTTTGACGGGAACTACATTGATGAGTGTATTCAATGCAGTGTCAAACACAGTCGTCATTGTGTTGTGTGGTGAAATAATAATTATTATTTGAATTTTAAATAAATAAAAATGTGCCGATTCTGCTAAATAAAATTGTGCTGGCACACAAGACAAAAAATTGCTTTCTTTCTTTTTAAACCCGTATTTAATTTTTTTTTTTTTTCATTCTCAATTGAGTTGTATGAGAGAAAATTACGGTTTTATATGATATATTGGAGTTTCCATAATTTAAAAAAAAACACAAAATGATAGATTCAAAATAGAAACTGGTTCGTGGCAGAATTGTTTTTTTTTTTTTTAATTTTACGGACCATACTGAGAAAACGCTTGCGTTCGAACAGAAAACTACACTGAAACAGAAGTCGATTTGACATTAGCTGTCAAACCGGCAAGATGGACAAGTGCGTTTGTAAAGTGAGCGCGTTCACTCCGTGTCAGCAGGTTTTGGACGAATTTAATTTTGCAAATGATGTTGTTGTTAGTGTAATGATACCCCCGCGATGCGCGCACAACGGAATTTAAATTATCAACCAATTAAATTTGACGCCGGAGAATAACAATTTCGATCGTTCTAAAGAGCCGTCGTTAACCATGCGACGTGCAAAAGTGTTGATCAATTATTTTTTTTTTTTTGCCAAAATGTGTTTGTCTCCCAACAAATGCCGTTCACAGGATTTAAATGATTCGAATTGTTGTGCCGCTAGCCATCAAGTTGCACATGGTCGCCTTGAGCTGGTCAAGCTGAAAACCTTGCGCAAATTATCCAAACTACTCAATAGTGAGTATGTTTATTAAAAGAGCCTATCATCAGACAAATATACAGTTGAACAATAAAAGTGTCCTACTAATAGGTTTTCTCACCAACTATTTGCTTTTCAGTGGAAAGAATGGATGCGGTGAAATGAATAACATAATACAATGTCCTGTTTGACATTTTCGAAATTATTGAAAATGATTTTCTTTTTCACAAGAACATGAAAAATAAAAGGCTAGACACTGAGTGACTATAAAAATATAAAAGCGCCATTGCACACCTTAATTTTTCTTTATTAAATAATAACTAATAATAACAATCAATAAAATCAGCGCCCAAAAAAAAGGTTACAAAAGAAGAAGAAAAAGCATACGCACATCATATCTCCTTTTTCTGAAATTTTCTTGTAAAATCGTTGGTTTTGCAGAAAAGAACGTTTATAATCGTTGAATACTCAATTCTTTTCTCCATCTCTTTTCTCTCTCTCCCCCTCAATATGTGCATTTCAGCATCAAGAATACAAACAACCTTCTCATTCTCAGAATGACTTGCCTTTTTTATATATCTTTTTAATATTTTAAGGTTATCATTCTTTTTTTTTTTTTGGTTTCTTGTTAACAGAGTCCCACGCGATTCGATTTGATTTAGTTGTTGTTTTCTCTCTCTCTCTCTCTCTCTCTCTCTCTCTCTCTCTCTCTCTCTCTCTCTCTCTCAATTTGGTACCTGTATTCATGTCTTATTTTTTGACGATGGGTCATTTTTTTTCTATTTTTGGTTGATGTGTTCTGTTTTGTTCTCTCTCTATCTGTTCATTTTCTAATTGTTGTGAGCATGCTTTTGTTAACGATATATGTGGTGACTGCGATAAAAAAAAAAAACAACAAACCAAAAGGGATCTATTACAAAAGTTAAAAATCAAATAAACAAAAAAAAAATACAGAACGAAGAAAATTGGGATGAAATCGAAATCACAAGAAATCGAACAGAGAGATAAAAGAAAGCAGATTTATATGATGAGGTGAATGTATTCTGAACGTTTTCGTATTAAATAAAAGCATGTGGGCTGCATTTGTCGAAATGAAATGATTAAAGATGATCATTGCATCGTGATGGTTCTATCCAAAATGCACCGAGGTAATTTGAAGTCAATAATAAAAATTAGCTGATATATGACTGAACACTTGGAAGAGGAAGCATTTATTGAGAATCAAGACGTGAAACGAAAACAAAACAACAACAATAAAAAAAAAACACACACACACACACACACACACACACACACACACACATCCATAAAACCTGAATCGATTATTGTTGATTTTCGATAATCAATTAGTTATTCGATTAGGACGTGAAGTGACTTCTATTCGCTTGAATCGAATGAAGAAATATATCAAATGAGAGAATTGTTGAGTCGAACAGTGAGAGAATGAGAGAAAAAAGGAAGTCATTGGGTTGGGAACTTAAGAAATTATCTTTAAGTCATGTAATTGGTTAATTGCATGGCATGTCATTTAATAAACGAATTTTTCACCGAAAATTGCCCGAAAATAAGACACTTTAAAAGCATTCCCATTTTCTAAGGCAAGATGAAGTAATCATGAACAGTTAGATTATTGACGCTTCGATGACGCAAAATCAGGCAATTTACTAGAGACATAGAGACGAAAATCTCTGCATCTTGAAATAAGCATCTAAACAAAGCTATCAATGATGAGAACTAGGGTAGGTCAAAGCAATTCAATTGAAATGTTGAAAATTTGTTTCGTTTTTTATAAGCAAAATATTTCCTAAACGCCACATTTCGACGAGATATTCTCGGCATAATAGA